GCCGTTGTTGCGGTCTGTTTTCATCCATCTTGTCAATACTCGACGCCTGTATTTATTGTACATATGCAAGATTTACGCATACCTTCTATCGCTGTTTGCCTCTTCATTCCGTTTGTCTCTTCCTCTCTCAATCTGAGATTTGATTATATCATTACTAAACTTACCATGTAGGCTTTGGCGACGATATCTGTTGGTATTCCGGCCGTTTTCGCGATTTTCAGTCCGTAGTTTTGCAAGGAAACGCCAGTTGTTATTTCGTATAGAAAGGCTGGCTCACCTTCATGCATCGATACCAGCATTTTCTACTGAGCTATGCTAACTTTATTGGACAACTTACCTTAAAGTTAACCTTTCCTGACATTGGTTGTAGGAATTTTATTGCCCATCCACCACTGAGTGTGGTAAGGACAGTGTGTGGGGAATCCCTTCCAGCAAGATAATCAAGCAAGCCCAGGAAAGTTGCCTTTCTTGTGATCTAGAGACAAACAAAATTCGGGGAAGGCACTCGGATTCTAGCACATTTCAAGCTTTAGGTTTCTGGACTTGTCAGATTTAATAAGTGGGTCTGGTGAGTTACTTGGTTTGCCGCGAGGGCATAACAATCGGGGAATCAAGTACGGACTTAGGCCGTCTATTCGTATTCAGTTAAGTGACGAAGCTGTAGTGCACTGATAAGTTTTTGGGCACCTAGTTCGGCCTCTGTCCGTCTCAGCCGCATGTCTCCGGAGTCAAGTAACTGGAGAGGGATAAGGACCTTGGGTAAGCCAATTGTCCAATAACTTCAAGGGTGCTTGAACTCACTTTATCATTTAGATAGGGGAATTCGTCCAAGAGGAGCAGCGATCGGGGTGTGCCTTGTTTCAATGCCATGGTCAGCCAACTGATGGTACTGGTGAACTTGGAGCTGCCGGCGTCGGCTCCAGAGTCCGCTGGTAGCCACGCGAGGATGGCGTTCATCTGTGGAAGTGAGGCAAAGTCGGCGGGCACGAAGCTTCCAATATGTGCCAGGTACACTATCAGCCCCACCTGAAGTGTGTGTGTGTTAAAGAGACATCCAAGATTCAGAAATAACGTGGACTAGAGTTGCAGTAGTGTGAACTATTTACATGTTTTCATATTTCAAAGGTGATCCCTCGTTAACGTCCTTGACCGAACGCTTGTGTCAAGGCTTGGTTTTCCATCGTCTGACGTCGGCACGAAATCTGAAAGCGGAATGTAGTATGTAGCATCTGAGCGACTTGCCGGCAGGCAAGGTGGCTCGTCTGAACCGTGACCGGCCTTTGTCTGACTGATGCACGTTGTGTCGTGCAGAGGCGGCTTCTGAAAACCTGGAATAAATGCTTCGCCTATCTTAGCCTCAGCTAGGGATCGGATGCCAGCGCCGGTGGCCGCTGTCACCGTGATTATCCCTTCAGACTAAATTCTTGCAGGGACCGTTATCTGACAGACTGAGGGATTTATTATTCATATCGTGTCTGCGGATAGGTCATACACAACATAAATCTTGTTCAATAGCACAAACCTCTTTCAAGTACATCGTCTTCCCACTTGTGTTCGGCCCGGAGACTAGCGTTATGTGTTTCTTATCTTCCGACGAGGCGAACGAGTTACTCCTGTAGCCGGGTGAGGTCGCCTCATATAAGGCGTGTCGCCCATTTTTGATTCTGATAGCATTCTGGGAGGTGAATTGTGGTTTAGTCCCGTTCATTTGTATTGCCGCAACTGCCAGAGCACATAGGCTAAAATATAACGGTCGGAACTGTTAGTAGTTTTCTGCTAAATCAAGTCAGGATTAGTACCTAGCGTGTATCTTGCATTTAAGCTACCCTCAATCGGTGTCGGCGTCAGCTTGCTGTCCAGACATCTATGATAGGTTTGATGGGAGTGGGAACTGCGGGCACTTCGACCTTACGCTGGGACATGGACCAGCATCGTGTCCACGCACTGACTGGCCACTTACCGGCGTCAGATGAGGCGTTTCTTGGTGCTGGTATGTTGTCGACATTTTTAGCTAAGGGGTCTAGTCATTCTTGACCTTGAGACCATCTGCTGGGACTACAACAAACTTCCCGGAGCCCATGCTTTCCTTGAGGCTATGCATAACCACCACTGTCCCAATCTGCTTTGTTTTGGCTCCACTTACCAGTCTAGTTTCGTTGCAAAGGCGTGGCCGTCTAGGAGTGGTTTAGTACTCTTCAGTATCTCGTCCTGCACTTCGTGCATAATGGATGTTTCTGCATCTAAAATAGGGAAAGGTAGACACTAAAAAAGATGCTCTACAGTTTTCTGTGGGGTCTCACGATTGGACCATCTAAACCAGTTAGCAGGGGTTTCGACCTTAGGTGATTGACTAGTTTCCTACAGGCGTGCCGGGTCATGAAGCTGCCAACAGCATAGGTAGTGGAGGGAGAGTTCCTTGCCGAATAATCTGGCGTATTTCGGACCATGGCATAGTGATCTCGGATGGTAATAATTAGTGGCGACTCGGTCTTTGGCGCCGGTAGGCTGCAATGACTCACGTGGCATTCCTGTTAGGGTTTTTGGGGCTTGGTTCGCGTGGATAAGTGGTTCTGTGCGACGCAGACTTCAATACCGGACCCCTGAGTGGGGAGAAGATGCGCAGCTTCCTCTTTGTGGGCGGCCTGACGCGGTATCTTCCTGGTTGACGCAGTAGTTCTGTCCCCCTCCCCCACCCAGACAGCGGGTCAGTTGGTGGGTGGCACTCCCCTCCTACTCGGGGGGGTTGGGGATATGTGGCCCGCCCAAAATTTGGCCGCTGCAAACGCTAGTGGGGACTCCTGTTAACCTTGATACGGTCCCACCCGCCCGCTTCCTCTCGATTGCCTTACCACCGAAG